TTTTTTGATGGTCTGTTTTAAAGGACTTAAAAAAAAAGAACCCTATTCCAGAGAGTAGTGAGACAACAATTTAAGGCATGAGGAACTGAAGTAGTATTGCATTTTATTCTATTTAATGAGAATCCAGTATTAGTTAGCTTTGAGTGAGGTATATCAAGGGTTGGCAACAGTCTCAAATGTCTGAAGCAGAACTTTGCAATCAGGTATAAGTTTCTTCTTCAGACCAGAGAAAGGGGAATGAGTTTACACTTCAGCAAGAACTATAGAGAAAAACTGTTTCAGGTCAGAAGTGCTAAGCATCAGAAAAATCAGAGATGAAAAATACTTTGGATATAACATCTAGTCCATAATTTCCTTGTTCTCAGTTGTTATGACTGTCACTTTGTCAGTTATTAGTTATCTTGGCAGAGATATGTTCCTGGATCAGATCTAGGTAGAGAAATCCTGCTGAGTGGTAACTCAGTGAATGCTGATTCAAGTAAACGGCCTTCATTCAATCAACACCGAGATATGTGCAGCACTAATGACTACAAGATAAATGTGAGATATAACCCCTTCCTTTAAAAAGTTTATCACTAACTGTAAATAAAATTCAATATCAGAGTAGCTCTTCACCTACTTTGCTCATGTAATCATTTTCTTTGCAAAGAAGAACTAATATTTACTGAGCACTTATGTGCCTGCCATTTTATTACACTAATTCATTTAATGCTTCTGAGACCATTATGAAATAGAAATTTTTATTCTCTGGTTATAAGTGGGGAAACCAGTTACTCCAGAGTGTAAGCTATTTGACCACAATTTTAACTAGCAGATAGATTGATTCTCAGTCTTGGGGCCTGAGAAAGACCTGTGAGGAACCTGGTCAATCCTCACAGTTTACAGTAAGGAAACTGATACCCAGGAGAGGTAAGCAGCTTCGTTGTCTAGATATGAGAAGGTCCCATAAAGTCTTGCCCTACGGTGGGCTTTGTAATTAGATCCAAAGGAAGTACGTTTCTGGGTCTTGATTGTGTTCTTCTAAGAACTGGGTAGATATCTTAAAATTCTCTGTGATAGCAGGCTGTAACGATGGGGTGGCAGCTGGTGCCTTGGCCGTGGGAAAAGCCCCCAGGACAAGCCTTGTTTAGTCAGAAGCTGTGGCCATGGGGATCCAGCCCTCTGAAATCCCAGCTCTTGACCTGTGGAGGCAGAGAGACAAACTGACCTGGTCTGAATTTTTGGTCTATTATCTATTAGCTCTGTGACATTGAACAATGCATATGACCTCCCTAAATTTCAGATTCCCATCTTTGGAACAGTGACTTTAGGAGGGGTGTTGTGATGGCTGGACAGCAAATATGTAATTAATGGTAAATATTAGTAAGAGAAAAAAGAATGGTCTGGGCAATTTCCAAGATACTTTATAATTCCGATTCCAGTTTATCTATCTTACTGCTTTTCAAAAGTCAGCAATGGTGCTAGGAGTTCCTTCAAAGTACCCTTACATCGCTTAACAGTCACTTAATTGGCAAAGAAGGTTTAAAGACCTGATATTGTTCTTAATCCGAGACCTAGAAGCAAGGACTATTACCTCGCAGCCGTGGGCAAACTACGACCCGTGGGCCGGATCTGGTATTGTTCTTTTTTTTTTTTTCTTTTTACCAATTTATTTTATTATTTATTACAAAGGGTATTACATATGTGTCCATTTTTTCCCCCCTTAATCAGAGACCTAGAAGCAAGGACTACTACCTCGCAGCCGTGGGCAAACTATGGCCCGCGGGCAATCTTTTAATTTGTAGAGACCTATTTCATGTGTTCTGGGCAGAGTGATTCTGCAATTACCATAACAGTTTACAAAGCACAAGTCAAGCATATTCCTTGCTTGTTTGGTAATGTCTAGGTATCAGCTTTTTAATGATATCTATCAGGCCTGGAAATATAAGTGAAATAACATTTAAAACCCTTTTCGGTCCAACCTCGAGGCTGACTCGACAGACCAGGTGCTAGGAGCAGGTCCAACGTTGAGCAATAAGAACATTAAAAAGTTCAACATTCAAACCCGTCAATTAATTTGGACCAGACTGTTTGAATTCCAAAAATAACATTGGACCGCAAAGGGTTAAAATGGTAGTGCTCGAACTTTAGTGTGCTCAGAATCACCAGGAAACTTTGTGAAACATAAATTTCTGGGGCCAGATCTAAGTCACGCAGGGCCAGGAAATCTGTATTTTATCAGAACATATAGTAGTGCTTGAGCTTTATAATGTGCTCAGAATCACCAGGAAACTTTGTGAAATACATAAATTTCTGGGGCCAGATCTCAGTCAGGCAGGGCCAGGAAATCTGTATTTTATCAGAACATCCAACCTTGTTCTGAAGAGTATGGCCCTCAGAACATACCTGGAGAAAGGCTGTCCCGCAGGCTTGCTGTCCAGCTACTCTCTCTTAATGCTCCCCAGGAAAAGAACAACAAATGAACGCCCCGTCATTCAGAGTAGCAGCAGAAGAGATAGTTGCTCTTAAAATATGGTGGATTTCTCTTCCTAATCTAGATGCTTTAAGGGTACAGTTTCATTTGGTTCATCTATATTATGATCTATAAACACTATCACAACTCACAAGAAAGCTTGAGCTGAGAAAAGACTGGATAGTTGCCCTTACCAACACTGATTAGTTTTATTCATTTCAAACGGGCGGATCCGGCCCACGGGCCGGAGTTTGCCCACAGCTGGGCTAGACACAAAGCTGTCTCAAGAGATCTGGACCTGGGTTCCCCCACCAGGCATGTAAAGTTTCATATCAGGGTCTAAACAAGGTATGTCCGGTGGCTTCATTAGAAATTCCTGGATTCCTCGCTGGCTATTTTATTGTCTGGGTTTCAATAAAATGAGAAAATAGCTGTCATCCAAACACATTTGGGCTTAAAAAAACAAACAATTATCTGTTGTCTTTAAATAAAATAAAGCCCTGTTTTTTTAATCACAGCATATCCCTACTGTTTTTGAGTTTAAATATTAAGGAACATGTTTTGTTAATGATTAAAACAATAGTGATTGGTTAGGGGGCTCAGTGAACATTGAATCTGTCTTTACTCCAGTCAGTGTGCTTGAAGCAACACACTGCCTAATGCCCCAGGATGGACAGTAGGTAACTATTTAATGGGGTTTTAATTTTGGGTTGCTATTAATAATAATTAATGTAATTTTGATTATGTTGGAAGCTGGAGGGATACTGTCAGTCATCCTTTCAGGGTGGTGGTATTGCCCTGCCCTGTTTAATCAGAGGTTCTTAGAGGAGGTAGGCTCAAAGTGATTTAAAATGAAAGAAGGTAGATGTTTAATAAAATTTCAATTAAGAAATTAAATCATATTCAAATTGAAAGGGGGACATGGAAATTATCTGGCCTAATCCTTTCATTCTGCAAATGAGAAAAATGAGGCCCGTAGGAATTAAAGGACTTGCCCAAAATTATACAGCTTGTTTGTTGTGTGATGCGTTATTGGGCTAAATGACCTCACAGGCCTAACTTGGAAAAGAGGGCAGGATGCTGTGGCCCTGCTCTCACAGTTGTTTATCTGATCTCATGTACTTCCTACCCGTCGTAATTCCTGTTTTCTAAATATCGAAGGTGTGTAACTGTAAAGTTTGTCTGGAAAAGCTACTCTGGGCCAATATCTGTTTAAGTAAAGACCTAAATGCTTTGCTCTGACAGTGAAGTGCAATGTCTATGCCAGGAAAGAAAACCAGGACAGGAAATGCGCAGTCCTCCAGCACTAGCCTGGTTACCTGGAGCTCCGGGCTTGTGACCCTCAGCCCCACCCCGTGGCATTAGCTCAGGACTCCAGAGCAGAGGTTGTGATTTCCTTTAGGGCTCTAGGCAAGTCCCTTTAACCTGGCTGTCCTTCCCCTTCCATGTTTGTAAAACAGGGAGATGATGCTGATCGCTCCCACACTGCTCCATCAGAGGCACCCTGTGAAATTAGCTCCTGTTTGTTTGGGCAGGGTTTTAAAGCCCACATTCCACCCCCCTGCTAATATGATTACTAGCACTTTCTTGTAGGAAAGGGCCAACTCCTCATCCCCCTTCTTCCTTTAAAAAACAAACCAAAGGGTATCTTTTGTCTCCCTGTGGCCAAAAAGGTTGTTGCTTCTGTAGCTGTTACCCCCTCGGAAGGTCAGTTTACTGAGGTGAAGGATTTCTAGGTGCATCACAAACAACCAAACAAAACAATAATAACAACAGAAATAACTGCTGTGGAGGTTCTTAGAGGGCTTCTGAGTTACAAACAGACCTTTCTAACTCTAAAGGAACGTGGCCCCCAGTCAGTCTCCAAGCCATCTCTGTCCTCCACAGGGTTAGGCCTGGTGGACTGTTTATTGGGGCTGTCTTCCTGAGGGTCATACCCACGGCTTTCCACAAGAAGCATTAAAAAAAAATGTTTTGGAAGGAAAGTCACCTTTTTAATAGCCAAAGAAGTACCTCTCTCTGGCACACAACTCTGTGCACAGCCTGTTTCTCAACCTTTGGAAATCCTTTAACAGTTTATGGAAGGCCACCCTTTAAACCAATCCAACAGCTCCTTTCTCCATAACCTGATTTTAGAGGTGTTTCATTATCTCTAATTACTCGGGGTAAACGGTGATTACTCAATGTTTTAATCATCAGTTTGGGCAGCAGTTACTCTACACTCAGGGAAGCCCAGACTCCCATGGGTATTTTTGGAAGGTACTGCGACTAGTCGGTGCATGCTTTCTAGTACCTACGCACGTGGTCCCCAGGTGAGTCCCGGCCGCTTCCCAGAGCTGGAGGCAGCTGGGTCCCCAGCCCGGGCGGCAGCTGCGGACTCTGGCGCTGCCCGGGCTTCCGGGACCGGGCCTGCGAGGCGAGGCCGGGCCGCTGGAGGGGAGGATGTGGGCGGGGCTCCCATCCCAGAAAGGGAGGCCAGCGAGGGAGGAGGGAAGAAGGGAGGGGCTGCGGGGAAGAGGAGGAAGGAAAGAAAGAAAGACTTGAGGGAAAAAGGAGGGAGGGAGGGAAGGAGTGCGCAGCCCGGCCCGGAAGCTAGGTGAGTGGCATCCCAGCCCAGGGACGGGAGCCTTAGACGCCGCTGCTGCTCCGCGCACTGTATTTCGCTTCTCCCCCTCATGGGATTCCCGTCGAGCCTGCAGCACCCCAGTCCTCGGCCCTCGCCCATGTTCACTGCAGCCGTTCAGAGGTCCCCAGAAGCTGCTGCTGGCGAGCCCGCTACTGCAGGGATCTATGGTGAGCACGGCTGCCTGGCAAGGGGCGCCGGAGAGAGGGGGCCGAGGCGCATCCTTGGGGTGGGGGGTGCGGAGGAGGAAGCTCGGCACCCTGGCTGTAGTCGCGGCAAAAGGGCCCC